CTAAAGAGCAGTGCATCAACAATAACAATCGCAGTGAAACGCTACGCGACGCGACGCTCATCTTATCCTATCTCAAAATTGTGCCAGTAGTTTGTATGAACTGTGATTTCTGCTGGCATCCCACACCCCACACACTCACACACTCAATCTCTCGACTCTCATGCATCTAGTACTCGTAGTTAGAAATCTTTTTCATATCGTTAGGCGACAACAAAATCTGTTCTCTTGTTATATTCTAGAAGATAAATTATCCATATTTATGGCATATCTACATATGTACATATATGTATGTATATTTTTCTATTAAATGAAAGCCTGAGCAAATGCAAACGTGTCTCTAATTAATTTTATCCTATATTTTTGCCGTGGGTAGTTAATGTTTTGGAAAATGTGATATTTTATGATCACCTAAAATAAGTTGACCGTCTGTGAACTTAATTAACCCATTAATGGGTTTATGTTCAATACTAAGGTCGCGAGGCGTCTATTCAAGTGATAAACCTATTCAGGACAAAGTCAGTTGAAAACTAATTTAAGCCTGTGTCAAGTCGTTCGAGAATTAGATTAAGAATAATTGAAAGGGCAGACGGCTCAAGCCCAAATGCAAGTGAAGCTTAGAACGAAAGCAAAATATCGGGAGAGCGATCTTTGTAGGAGCCGTTTAGATTCTGGCGTAAGAAAACGAACAAAAGAAAGCGAGGGACTTTCTCACTATCGCGCCGTATCATTTATATTAGCATCTTTTCGATTTACTCTGCTGTTTCTTATCGATTTGTCTGCTAATGATATAAACCAACAGCAATGTGTTATGTATCAAGGAAAGATATCGTACTATTTATACGCTCCGCTCCTTTTCTGCTGATCATGATGGATGAATTTGTGCATCATGATCACCAATCATGTCCGTTCCACAAAACTATCGTAAGAAATCCATCACTGATCACCGATCAAGTTGTCCTGGAGTACAGAAGATTATTAAATGCTATAAATTCTAGATGTAGTAGGTATTATCGGCCTGCGTTGCCCGACAGTCTGTATCCTCATGATCCTGCGAAAGTAGGTCCTTCGCTGAGTTGGACCGAATCCTGCCAATTAGCCACGCAAACGAGCTCTTGCGTGATATAAAGTTTCCCAAATTGTGTAAAAAGATAATACGGTTCTTTTTGATATTTGAATATACACTTTATTTTTCAGAAAAAGTTGTTCATTTTCGTAATGACTTTACATTTACATATATGTATAGTATATATATTTATATATATTCTCCTGCCACTCTGCACATCATGTGTTCGTGTGTTTCATTTTTGGTTTTTTGCTGGAATGCCCAATAGTATTATAATACGATACAAGTTGCACACATGATTTAATCTGTTTTTGTTGTCTATATAATATTTAGAATAACCGAAGAACAACGACGAATGGACCATTTGCCATTCGAAAAACAAACAACCAAAGCACATTTTTTGTTTTCAACATTTACATCCATTAATATGTATCTGCGTTTCGTTACTGCGAATATGCTTAGTACTTGGACGTGGCCAAAATTCATCTAGATACTTGATTTGCTTTCCAAAAATATATATATGTATATTGTTGTAGGTAGATATAATATATATGTATCTCGTATATACACACACGGCTGACGACTGACTGATCTACTAATTGCTGATGCTTCTCTTCTCCTTGCTTCTCTTCTCTGCTCTGTAAGTACTCCATCTATGTATTTTCATTGCTTGCAAATCTGTTGGTAGAAAAATAAACACCACTACCATCTCAACTCTTTGTATCTCCATCTTAACTCTTGTATAGCCCCTTCTATGCTTGTCAAATTCTTCTATAGCTATATTTTATGTACCGTTCGTCATGGCATTGACAAAGTTGTGCTCTGTTCTAAGTGGATTTTTATACAATTTCGGTTTGGTTCGGTTCGTTTCGGTACGGTTCTATATTCTGCACTCGATAAAGCTGAAAATGAATACTGAAACTGTGGGGTTAGATCGATATGGGAGGTCCTTTCCTTCAGCTCCTTTTCAAGCAAGCCAACTAACAATTGCAAATGGAACAAATGCTCCCAAAATATTGGTATATATATATTTGTATCTGTTTATATGTAGTATGTATATCTGGCATCTCTATATATGTGTCCTGAATAATCTGCCTCATCGAATTGTGCGAGTTACATTTTTCATTAATTTTGTATTCGGTGCGTAACAACTAGAAACTCTTTTATTTTGCAAACTACTCAACTCTGGTTGGGGGCGGGCAAAGCACTGGACACTGAGCGGGAAAAGTACTCGCACACTAGGCTGGGATAATGCCGCACTAATTAGCTATGATATATTGTATATATTACACAAATACTAAGCACTTAATTGGAACGCACAACAAAAAACTGCAATGGGACAGAACAGAACCCATCCTCCCTATACATACACATGTACATATGTATCTATCATCCTGCACACATCCATCGATGATGTTAATAATTTGTTTTTTGGTTTTACAGATTTCATTTTCATTTTCATTTGGTATATGCACCAGTCTACAATTTAATTGACAGAAGTTACAATTTAAAAATATTTTCCTCTTACGCTTTGCTTTTGGTTTTACATTTTGTTTAATTTTCAACGCACAACAAAAATATCTACGAATTCAACAACATAGTTTCTCCACAGGCTACCGAAATGAATAATCCTATATGTATATACATATGTATATGCATATTTCTCAGTTATGTAATCCCCTACTATTTTTCCTTCTGTGTGTGGTGTGTTTGTGTGTGTGTGAGAGACATCAATACATATATGTAATTGACTTTCGGTCAACGAAACTAATCTTCGGTATACATTTAAGAGTAATATTTAATGACAGGCGGCCTCTCACTTCCTTTGTTCGGGGATCGATCTGTAGTTTATACGAGTATATTCTGTTAGTAAACGCATTTTGGTCTCAAGATTTTTGTTGTGTATTTCTGAAATGAAGTTCGCGCATAGTCAGAGTGAGGTTTAAGCTAATTCGAACGATTCTGAATCTCTCAGTTATGCTTATGGGATTATCATTATTATTTGTGTCACGCTCTGTAAACAAGCATTTCCAATTTCATGTAGATGTAGTCCTAAAAAGAAAGTCTTCCGTTTACACAATACAACAGGAATATCATTACATATATTCATTGGGGTTTCCGGATTCTCATGCGTGTTGAGGAGGATATAGTACATAAGAGCATACGTTTATCGTATCTGCGGTTAGGTTACATAAAAATTGTCCATCTGTCAAGATCGTTTAAATAGTATATAACATCTAAAAACATCTCCTTTGGCGTGAGTCTCCATAGTTCGTTTCACCATGTATCATATCGTACTAGCATATATATTATACATACATATCTTATTTTTGGGGGGTTGTAGGGAGGGCGGTGCGTGCAAAAAGTTTCAGCTAAATTTCTCTAAATTGTTTGCATGCTAAAGAGGATTAGTTCTCTGCTGGGATTATCGTTACAGTTGCTAGTTTCTAAATGTATCTCCATCTCTTGTCTTTGTTGTGTGCGTTGTTTCGAGAGTAAAAACTTCAACTCTAATGAAATGAAATATTCTTTCTACATATGTATGTATTTTTATCGCATACATTCTTTTTTTTTTCGAACTCTGTTCAGTGTAAAATATCAGCAATTTTGTTTCGTTTTTTTTGTTTCTCTCAAATATGTGTGTTTGCAGCGTTTCGTGTGTTCGAATATTTAGAATATGTTTTCTTTCTTCTTTCAGATTTTTCTTGTTCAGGGTAAGAAGGGAGTTTTCTTACAACATTTACAATACACATCGATTGGGGGTGTAGGGGTATAAGGGGACACTGTGGGGGCGCAAATACACTACAAAAATTACACTTACATTTATTCTAGATACGCTTCTACCATTGTACATTTACATATATGTATGTACATACATATGTATGTATGTATATTTTATCAGATGTGTATACATATATATTAATTCTTTTTTCCTTTTTGGTTTTGGTTTTGTTTAATTATAGTGAAATTGTATCTCAAAAGGGATATAAAGCCATTTAGGTTTGTTTTGTTGTTTCATCAGAAAAACCATTTCCATTCCATTTCCACACGGCAGCAACAATTCCTCCGGCTCATCCCACGATCCGGAGGATCCTGCGATATCCTGTGGGGGGCGGGGGAAGAAAAACTTACAACTACAAATCCTGCTTAAAATCAACGCGTGGTACGCCGCTCTTTACAAAAGATATAGCACATCTTTGAAGATATGGGGTGGCGAGGCGGGGGCACTGACAATTAAAAATTTCTCGGTTTTGGCCATGTTTTTGTTTGGTTTTTTTTGTTGTATAATATTGTGTATTTCATTCTGGTGTTGTTTCTGTTTGTTTGTTTTTTAGTATATAATTGCATAAAGTCAACATCATTAGCATTAAAACATAAACATAATTAAATATATATGTATAGTAGGTATGGTATATCGGATAAAACTAAAAAATAAAACTCTTTCGCTCTGCATTCAGTTTGCTGCTCAATTGCTCTTCCTTCCTCCTCTACATTTATTATAAAAGTCAAATTATTTAAAAGTTATCTTCTTCTCTTCTCCTCTCTTATTTTTTTCACTTGCAATCAGCATTTTGCACTAAAAATTATATCGACATTCTTTATTATTTCTCTCGTTCTCGCGTACTCTCTTTTCTTCATTCTTCTCTTTTTGCACAAAATGTTCTCGAAACGAATTAAAAAATTAAATTCAAAATGAAATCAATCCGAAGAAACATGACACGGCCTTGTGGTATGGTATGGTCTGTGCTTTTTGTTTCCTCTTACAATTTTTTAATGTTAATCATTTTTTCATAATTTGAACTTATATTAAATGTATCTGTGTGTGTGTATCAGTGTGCAGGGTGTGTGTCTGTGTATGTATGAATGTGGGGGCCTTGATGTGATTTTCAATTGTTTTTCATTTTCATTTCATTTCACTTTGCTTTAATTTTTCTAATTTTTCCAGCCGCGTGTCGCTTGTTTTTTTTTTTGCCTTCAAGGGAATTGGGTTTTGGGTTTTCTCATGCCTTGTTTAAATCTAACACATAATTTAGTTGCTTCTCGTTTAATAGTATATAATATAAAAACTAAATAATTAATACGTTCAAACGCATAGACCTAACTCCTCAACGAAAAACGCTTTCCGCTCAAGCTCCCCTGAAATTATCACAGGCTGTTTTTCCTGTAATCCTTTCCAGGGAGTTTGTGGATTGGGTTGGTTTTTTTTTTTTGGGGGAGGCTGTGTGGACTTTTCTTAGGGTTTTCTTAGACGCACACTAGCTTTTGACATCATTCTCAGGTTGTTGGATTATCTTTATCGTTTTTGTTTAGTACATATAATTAATTAAATAGGTAGGTAGGCGGATGGCGCCATAAATATGTGTGTGTGTGTTGTATGTGTTATGTGTTTGTTGGTTGCTGCTTTCAACAGAAATTCACTTAAACAAATGCCCAGCATTCGAGTGTTTTGATAACAAAGTCTTCTTGTGGCGCCAGTGGCTCATTGCCGTATGTGCTGCAATGCTGTGATCGTCCCTGATTGAGATCTCCATCAAGCCACAGACCAAAGCGACCACTGGAAAAGGAAGGACAGGATCATTATCACATCAAATGGACGGTGGCATGCACGGGGGTGTACTTACTCTCCGGCGCCAATCGACAGGCTCTCCATGTTGCCCTTGATAAAGTACATGTTCTCGCCAGTCCAATGGAATACCTTGAAGCTGGGATTGAACTTGTAGAGCAGGGACTCGCCGGTGCCATAGAAATGATCCGACACATGCAGCGAGCAGGAGGTCAGGGCACCAAATACCTATACAAAAAATACACAGGTTAAAATCACTCTCCATATAAAATCCAGTTAACATTATTGGCTTACATTATTATCTGTGTCCTCGATGACAATTAAAACTGGACTCTCCAGGCGCGCCATCTTGCGGTACAGGGAGTTGAGGGCGAAACCATGTTGCGATGTGCTGAAGATCAGGGACCAGGAGTAGCCCTCCGCACGAGCTGGCAGATGAGAGCAGAGCTTCTCGCTGTAAGGAAAGGTTCAACACATGAGTATAGGGTTCACTCAAAACAGATCGAGGAGTGTTCCATTCAAAAGGGGACTGCAGCAGTTGAAGACTTTTTACATTAATACGACTATAAATTTGGTACTTTGTACTTGTGTTCCCTCCATTAATCGACCACTTACCGATGCTCCTCGGTGAGGATCTCTGTCTTGCCAATCAGATCGGGAATGGGGAAGTCCAGGTCGAAGGAACCAGTCGCAAACAGTGAGGTCTTGCGATATTCATCTGTGCTCATGGACAGCACCTGGAGGAACGATGGATGATGGAGAAGAGTTCGGGATTAATAAGGATGCTTCAAGACTGCAACGTTAACCATAAAACAAAAGCTAATTGATAGGTATATCAATCACAAATCTAAATCAAAATACATATCCAACAAAATATATTGTTTCTCTTGTTGTTGTTTCGGGGAGGGATTTCTTTGCGTTTCGTTTGTTTGTTTGTTTGTGCTCAAAAGTGTTCACTGTATGCAGTGCGTACTGTAGTGTGTGTGTGTGTGTAGTGTGTTTGGGTTTGGAAATCAACTACAAATGAAAATCGCTCGCTTGGCATCGGCATCGGCACTAGCGGAGTGAACAAAAATTACACGAAAAATGTACACTTAGAGAGGCTGAAAGATGTCTATAATACAATGCTGAATGCAGAGGGATGCAGTAGTGACAAACGGCAACGGTGCAACGGAGTAGTGAAGCTTGGCCACAAGGCCCAGCCATTGATGGATCTTAAATAAAAACACAAACTCTGCGGAGAAAATAGCACATCCCATAGAGATATTATCCCCTTCAAATAGAATATTTATAAAGTACTGCAGACGTGTAGAATGTAGAATCCCTCACAGAAATATTGTCAAATATGGCAACTCTAAAAGTACAGCTTCGCTTGGTGAAATATGGCAACTCTACCATAGGAAACCCTGGAAACTCTGCCACAGTGAAAGTATTAGAACGGATCTTGATCCTCACAAATCGTTGCAAAACAGAAAGTATATGTATTTGGCTCTACTGTTGGCAACAAGTTGAACAGATACTAAAAGAGATGTGTCAACTGGGGGTTTAATGTTACGTGCTTCTTCGAAAGGGTGTTTTTAACAATAAATTTGGATGATGTACCCTCTCCCTAGTGACGAGAATACGCGGAAACTCTTGCATAATTTTGTGGACTAGTGTTGTAATTATTAACTGCTACGACTGTGTGCGGGGTGTGTTGTGTCTAGTGTTTTTTGTTTGCGGAGAGCGATGCTGTGGCATCTTCTTCCTGCTTCCTCTTTCGTGCCGGAGGACTTTGGTGGCTCTTGTACAACACTCTCTTGGAAATGCGACTGGCACGAGTACAGTTACTGCTTCTGGGACTGCTACTGGCTCTGGTATCGTCTCTCTCGTCCCTACCACTTATTGGCACGGCTGTGGCGGAACTCTACAACGGGCCCACCGAGGCGCTGGAATGCCGACTCCTTTACGTATTTCTCAGGCATTGGGATTTCCGACTCGGCGTCTTGGTTCTTGTCGTCGTTGTATTCCTTATTCGGGACGGGCTTCGCCTCATTGTGAGGGGACTTTGGCGATGGCTTTGCGGTGGAGTCCTGGCTGAATAGACTCCTGGACATGAGCGACACCTCGGGGACCCTCGGACGGGGAACGCTGGAATGCGCATTCACCGGGTGGCTCTCCTCCTGCGCCTGGTGGCGCCACATTTTGCCATGGCCGTAATTCACGGTCTGCTTGGCCGACGAGTATTTGGTCCTGCTAGTCGCACGGGGCGTGGGGCTCACATCTTTGGAGGGCCCTGCCGAAGCGGAGTCCTCCTGCTCGGCCTGGGGACGGCGCCAGAATAGCTGGGCGGGATAGTGGATGTCATCGAGGCGTCTCGGGACGGCGTTGAGACTCGTCGTCGAGGTGCCCTTCATCATGTTCCGGTCAGCGGACTCACGATCTGCCTCCGCTTGGACATAGCGCTTCTCCATGTCCGTCCAGTCGAAAGAATCTTCACACTCCTTCGCCCACGGATTTTCGTCGTCGCTTTCCGCCTCGCTAGGCGTCTGAATTTTCCGCGAGTCGGCCGTCCCGGACTTCTGCTGCTGCCACAGACGCGGCTCCATGCCCCCAAAGATCTTCTTCTGCAGGAAGTCGCGCTCCGTCTTGGGCTGGTCGTATCGCTGATACGTCACTAGTTTGGGTTCCTCGCGCTTCTTGGCCATAGGCTTGCGAGCGGCATCAGCAGCAGGCAGTGACACTGTAGGGGGGCGTTTGGGCGCTCCTCTGGCCAGGGACACGTCCATCAGTTCGAAGTCGTCCAACGAGTAGGAGGCGCGCGGCTGTGACTCGGTCATCCGCAAGCGCTGGTCGTGCTGCGAGGCCCTCGAGTTGCGACGCCTCGATGTGTACACGTAGCGCTGCATTGCAAGGGCCTTGCGGTCGCTGCTGCTGGAAGACGGCTTGGACTCGGCAGATTTCGGGGACTGCGACCTGTATTTCGGGGATCGGACGCGCTCCATCGGCTTCGGGATCCTGATCTGGCGACGTGGCGGCTTCACCTGCCTCGCTAGCGGTTCTTCCTCGACATCCTCTGCGCGGGCCACCTGCGGGGACTGCTGGACCATGACGCTTCCCGGGTGCTTCCAGCCCTGCAGCAGGTCCCTCTTCTGGTTCGGCTGACGGACGACGCAGATCCGCGATCGTACCGTCTCGGTGATGGGCATCAGTTCGTCCGAAATGGACTTGCTGATCTCCAGGGCCATCCGCACGCTCCGTCCCTCGCTCTGGGACAACGTTTGGACGTGGTTCTGCCGCTGGGCGGCCGATAGACGGGGCGTCCTCAGCTTGGCCTGGGACGAAACGTGCACAGGCACAGGCGGTTGTATGCGCTTCAGCGGGGCGGCCACCGTGCCCATGTTGCGCGTGGCGACGACACCGCAGTTCATGCTGCTCGGCTGTCGGGGCATGTTCACGATGAGCACATTGGTGGACGAGAATATCTTGTTGCCGCCGCAGAACACCGTCCCGGTCATTGTTCCTGTGGTCTGGACCTCGTACTTCAGCTGCCTGATCCGCCTGGGCTTCTCGCGGTTGCGATCGAGGACATCGATGCGCATCAGTTTGGGTGCCCCAAGACCGAGGGAACTGTGGACGCTGGCGCTGCCATGACCGCTGCCCTTGCCGTTGCCGTTGCACATGCCCTGCATTGTGGCGACAATGCCGCCGCTGGCCTTCGAGGCATTCGCCGTTCGGATGGCCAGCCGCGAGAGATTGATCTGGTGGCTCTTCATGCCGCACAGTGAGTCAGAGTCAGAGTCCGAGTGAGTCGTAAAGTGGGTCCAAGAGAGCGCGACACAGCGAGTGGGATTTTACACGAAGAATTTTGCACTTTTGGAATAGATTTAGATGGTTCGTGAAGTAATTCGGAGAGAAAGTAAAAAGCTAAACTGAAACGAAATTTCTAATGTGTTGGGAGGGATCTGTTCTCAACAAAAGGGAATAAAATACTGACTGGCAAAATATGGGAGCCCGAACTAGTCATATTTCTGATGTTCACTGAAGTTCCGAATCGTGGCTTACTGTTCAATCAACAAAAACAGAAACCAATCCCAATTCTCCCGCTCACCCTGAAAACTCTATGGAGACAATGCGATCGCAGTTTTCCGTGTAACCGCATGGTGGAGGAGGAGAGAACGTATCGATTGGCTGTCCAAAACTATACTGAGCCCCGAATCACATTATCTTCATTCTTCATTGGCTATTTGTGTCATTCAAAACTTTCAATTTCATTCGAATCTTATCCCGCAATCACAGCTATCAGCCATGAGGCATGGAAAGGTTTCCCTGCGTTTGTGAAATTCAGTTCTGGGACTACTCTGACTAATTCGATTGGGTTGTTAGGTGGGTGTTGGGTGCTCACCCACTTTATATAATTTTATTTAATTTCTTGTTGTTGTCATGTTTTATTCTGGCATTGACAGCGTGCGAATATTTCGCCATGTGACGTCAATGATTTTCATAGGAAATGTCATTCTCCATTCCTTCCTTGTGCTCGATCAGGGCAGGGCAGTAATTGCCAAAATAAACTGTGATTCGGATAAGTTTTGCATACATTTTAGGTATGGATATGGCTATGGGGATATGGGGATATGAATTTGCGATTATCCAAGTGCTAATCAAAGAAAAGGCAGAGAAACAGGTTTCTTGACTAAATAAAAACTAATCCAATGAGCAGACAACACCTACAAAACACCTGTACGTATGTACATATGTATCTGCAGGGTGCCCCCAGCTGTGGCGATAAGCAATCATTTATTTGGGAATTATTTGTCATTTATTGTAGGAATTACGATGCTCCAAACGTGATCAATCCATTAGCAAGTCTTCGAAGCACATCAAAAACAAAGCATATCCCCCTAATATAGCCCACAAATACTATATACAAATGTGTCAGGGAATGGGGAATGCGCAACGCAGTTAGGGGGGTCGGGTCGGATGGTTTGATTAGAGTTAAGATCCCAGAAAATGACTGATTGGCCAGGCGGCGCACTCGAGTTGAAGAACCCTTGAGCGGCAGTGTTTTGACTTTGACTTTCCATTTTGGTAGCATTAAGTGGCATTGTACGAGGATTGTTTGGCACTGGGCATCATAAATCAATTAGGAACGAGCCACAGAGTTGCATAAATGAGAGTCATGCAACGTGTGGCCTCGGTTGCAATTAGCCAGATATAAAAACTATGATAAAGAGTCACATATCGTATGATTCGTTTCGTGCTTCGGCAAAGCTCAATAGAAGGTCGAAAGTTCTCTAGACAGACAGACAGACAGACAGGCAGAGAGAGAGAGAGAGAGGGAGAGAGAGGGTGAAAAACCTTCTAAAATAGGTCACTCTAAAAATCATTCAGACATTCCAAATTATAAAAATATAAGTACTATATATACATATATCTCTATACATATATTGTAGAATAAATATTACGCAGATTTTAAACTGAATTGAGCCGTGACCGAACCACTCGAGGGAGTAGTAGCCACTGTTGGAGCGAAGGAGGAGGAGGGAGTGTGTGTCGGGGGGAGTACAATTAAAAAACAAAACGCAATTTCATCAGTGGACAAAAGTAAACAACAAACAATCAGCGAGAAATTCCAACGCACTCCACAAAACCCGAGATCAGATCTGAAACAGAATTCCAGAATCAGATTGGGAACAGATCCGCGAACAGAAGCCAAAGTCAATGACAGTTGTTTGTCTGGTCTGGTTGGGGTTTGTGTGCCCAGAGATCTGGTTGGTCTGGTGTGTCTGGCTGGGATGTCGTACGAGTATCACACCACACAGATATGATATGCATGTTTAAAGCACGATTTAGAGTTCGAGTCTGTGTTAATAGTTGCGCTTCCACTTTATGAGCATCAGATATATTATATTTATTCAGAAAAAAAAGAAACAGCTGGGAAATCACATGAGTCATGTGTTAAACCATAGTTTACCTCACGGCTGAGGCCATGATTGACGGGGACCATCAATTCGCACATTTTCATGTAGTTTTTAGCTACCGAGAGGGATTGTTCGAGATTGTTGTCACTTTCAATCAAAACGGAATATTTCACAGAAACGAGTACACGAGTGTATCTGCCACACGGGGCACGTGCTCGACACAGTGCTAGATCCTCTGCTTATCGTCTATTGAACTTTTCTTCTCTGCAAATCTGGGATATCTTGACTGGGAGGCTGAGATCTCAACCGTTTTCTCGATCCGATTCTAAACGCGCTCTGGAGTAACTTGTTTCGCGGTTAAAAGCCAAATGAATGTTGAATCACTTCAGTCGCTTTTATTGGCCCGTTCCACGCTCGAAAATATACTCAAAAGTGACTCTTGAGTCGCTTCCACTCACTTCTCTCTCGGTTGAGAGTTTGCACAGAGCAAAATAGAGAGAGAGAGACAATGGCAAGCAATGGAGAGAACAGCAAAGGCCAAGAGGAGGAGTGGCTCTGGGCTCTGTCTCTGTATGGAATAAAATATGGTAATAATAAAGCTGAAAAAGTGACAAATTGCTCACGTAGAATTCCCATACAATTCGCTCTCTGAAATGCACTCCCATTGTACATTTCTATATATCATTACCTACTTGTTTTGTACATACATATATATAGATCGAACAAATATCTAGCTGGTAAATTAACTAGAAAGTATGTCAAAATGCTTACAAAATTTATTGGGGGAGATAAATAATGGCTCAAAGTAGGAGAAACCTCTCAAATTTGAATTTAGTTGTATGAAATATTGGTAACACAGCTGTTTCTATAACAAAATAGATAGAAATATAGGAACACTTATTAACGATAAATGTATCGTCCTAACAGTTTATTAATTGATTTGACCAAAATCCGAGAGAAATAATAATTGGAGAATTTACTACAGATTTTTAGTGCAAAATTTACATTAAGAGTCCATCAAAATTCTTTAAAATTAGTATTCAAATAAATCTTTCCAGGAAATGGCTTGCAAGGGCAGAAACACGTTTCTTCCGCGTTTCAGTTAAAGATATTTACTCGATATTAGCCAGAAGATAGATTTCCCAGAGATACTTAATAATATATGAGTATTTGTTTACCTCTTCGAATTATACGTACATACATGTGTATATTCAAATGGAAGTTACTCAATTTTTGCCCGATAAGGTAGCTAAAATCGGTTAAGTTCTATATGGCGGCTATATTTTACCTGCAACCAATAAATATTTTACGACATCTTGCAGTCGTAGAACAATAAACTGTTTTCGTTCGGGTTTTGATTTGTACGATTATAAGATAAGAGGAAAATGCATAAATCTCAGAGGTGATTCCCCCTTCCAATAAATTCCTTCACGATTGAAGCAAATTCCATTTTAGGAATTTAAGAATAGAAATGGCAATATTTTTGCAAACAAAATTCGGCATTTGTTTTTCCTCTCACCGAACTTCTGATAAGATACTGAAGACAACGAGGCACGTATCTTTATTTATTAATAATTAATTTAGAGCACTTAATAATCGACTGGCAGGCCAAAGATTTCCGATTTTGATGCGAGAGATTTTAAATAAATTTGAAATGGGGCCATCGAAACTTGCGAAGGTGAGAGAACTGTCCTTGATTGAAAGATGATAAATGTATTTTAATAGATAGACACACTATTTCGGAGCTGCAATCGAGTGGGAGCCGCGTACTTTGTTTGTGGTTGGTGGCACGGCGGCGGCAAACATGTTCCGCAACGTTTCTGCATCAACTGGTTCCCGATGGCGGCTCAAACGAAGTCGTGTCGCAGGTCTGCTCCGGGCCAAAAAAGTTTTAAAGTAAAAAGCAGAAAGTTGAACAGAAAGAACCGGCCCCACAACGTTGCAAAGAGCAACGAAAACACACACAAAAAAGACAAAAAAGAGGGTGAAGAAACATAGAAAATCTGTAAAAGATATTCCGACAGTGGGATACCCCGCTGGATAACTAATTCTGGTTGTAAAACTTATTCGAATTGGTTGCTGTTTGTGTAAATAGTTAGTTTATATCTCGGTACCGAATATGAGTCCCCTATCTTGCCAACAATGGATACCAGGGCATCCAAAAAGTCTGTTCCGTAAAATTGTGTAGTTCTTCACGAATATGGGGTACAAAGCGGCAAAGAAGAATCGGAGAAGTGGCGAAAAAAGAGCCAAAGAAGAAACGAAAGAGAGTAAAAGAACCGCCGGCAAGCGATAAAACCGCTTACCCCGCAAAAACAAGTCTGAAAACCGGCAACTTTTTGCTGTAACTCGATAGCTCGCCCCTTTGGGGTTTTGGGGTTGGAGGCAAAAGAATGCGAAACCATTATTGCTCCATTGTATGCGGGTTAAGCGTTACTTTGGCGACTTTTCCATGAGAAAAGATAACAGAAAGAGGGCTTGGCTTGGCTTGGTACTCGTAATTAAGTTATGCATGGAGACGGAGATGGGAGGCATGGGGAAAGGTGTGAAGCCAAAGCAAAGTTGTGAGACAGAGCATACGAGTATTCGCATTCTAAACAGTCGTTCTTTGAAGACTCTTCTTTTCTAGGGTTCTAACCATTCTTCTCATAGAAATATTATATCTTTTGAGAGCCAGTTACGCCTGACTCGCACTCGTTCCTTCTAAGGGGTTGTCGTAGGGCTTAGATTTGTTGAGAAAGGTCTTTCCCATTATAATCTTATCGTTTTATAAGCTTTAAAGTGCTTAAGACTACCCCTTAAAGCTCTTTTTGTGAATCTTAAGTGGTTGAACCTATTTGTGTGCCGAGCAAAGCTTCTGTTCTTTAGATATTTCCTGTTTTGCCCACCATTTCTTATCACTTCTTACTTGCAATCATACTCTGGCATATACTATGTGCACATGCACATTTTCTGTATGTTTATCAGTTATTGTTTTCTATTGTTGTTCAAATGCATTAGGAGAACGGAGAACGTGAAGTACTTTTGTTGAGGTGCGCAGTTTCGTTATGTTTGTTGTGTACCCCGTCGTATGTACTACGGGTACGAGTATGTAGATATTTCTTGCATCACACTTTGTATTTACTATTGTTGTTCATCTGTCTATGCCTATGCAAATATTTAATTAGTTGCAAGTCTGACGTATCCAGGTTAACTTGGGTTAGTTGGGAGGTCAGGCCACATTGTTTGCCAGAGCTAAATGTGTGTTTCTTTCTAGAGAATTATCTAATGGGGTTTACTAAACATACATACATACATATGTAAGTACGAGTACTGGAGTGTAAACCCACTAACCCAAGGCAGAGCATTGACCCATGGCACTCCATGAATTTCCAAATCGAGACAGTTGACACGTTGAGACGAATGGGGTTCGTCTCAGGCCTTAGGTGTCAGGTGTCAGGTCTCAGATCTGAGGTATTCTCCTTCTGGTACGAGTGTAATGATGATTTCGCAATACCTACGACTGAGTGCTGCGAGTAGTGGCAAATCAGTTCAAGCAATTAACTTGTGTATGAAGAGGCAAAATCAAGTCATTTGTAATAGTTGAAACGTGTGCGATAATAATTCTCTACAATAGACGTAGAAGTAGCCACGTGTTCTCCGACAGCAATAACAGACGAGTGTTTGCACACTTTTCCACACAACAGCAAGGAGAACAGAATTTGGATATCCCGCTACCATACGGGAGATCGTACGAGTGTACACTAAGTACTTATGTTAAGGGAAGATCTCAAGATTCCTGCACTCTCCGAGACTCACCGTTTCATGCATTTCCCCGCTCTCATCGAGCAGTGCCTCCAGACTCTGATCATCTTTGGTGGGCGACAGGGGCGGTGTGGGCGAACGGTTCTTGTTCGCCAGCATTGAGCGAGGCAACAGATGCCGCCCATAGTGCAGGTACAGGTAGCGGCCCCACTTTCGACCGGCCAGCCCGCAAACGGCGGCCACAGCAAAGAGTACGACCACAAACCACATGTTGCTGAGAGGCAGCAAAAATACAACAACAAAACACACAACAAAAAGCGGTAAACAGCACAGCAAACAAAAACGGCAGTTAAGCAAAAGCTTAACACTGTCCAACTTTTACGGCTAGCAGTGTAGTGTGAGAGCTTTCCCGCTCAGCAGCATTGCTTTGGCTGTGTGCTTTGGCTCTCGCACCAGCACTGTTCTCTGCTCCGCTCCGCTCCACAGCTGGTTGGGGGGGGGGGGTCTGTCTTGTGACCCACGAGATTTGTGCTTTGCTTTTTTCTCTGTTCTTCTTCTTCTGTGTGTGTGTGTGTGTGTGTGTGTGGGTTTGCCGTTTTGTGCTTCTGTTGTTGCCACACGTTTTATCACGCTCTCTGCTTTGGTGCGCTTTTTGAATACGAATACTATATAGATTTTTCTATTGGTTTTCCTTTCGTTTCGTTGCACGTAAACAGCAAACAGTGCTCCGATTGTTTACACTGCTGCCGTCACACTCTCTATATTGCTTTCAAATCTTTTCAAATATTTGCTGTAAGAGCTTTGACGTTTATCGAACTTTTTGCCACTGCTGCTGCTGCTATTTTCAAACAAGTCGCTCGAGCGACTGGCATGACGAAACAGACCATAGAACCGAGCAGCGCGCACGAAAAGAAGTTGCCGAGAGAGTGATAGAGAGAGAGAGAAGTGCGTTCGCCGCCCACTCTCTCTTTGGCGCTCAGTCTCTTAGCTAAGCTTTTCTGGTAGGGGGCCGGACGCTCTCTTCGAATCGAGTTTGGAGCTCGAGCGAGCAACTTCTTTCGCCTGTCGGCAGACAACAGGTTTGTTGGCAGCATGTTGCACAGCAACAATGTTGCCGCAAATGAAGAGTTCTGTATTCTGCGGCGTATACGTAATTTTTATTTTTATGCGATAATTGATTTTCAATTGAAGCCACCACTCACTTGCGAGTATTTCCAGCCCAAACGACAAACCACTCACGTGCCAAAAAAAAAAAAAAGAAGAGTGCGGGGTCTGTTTTTGGTTGCATCTGCGTTCGGCCAAGGTTTAAGCCGACATTTTTGGGTTAATTTCGCGCAAACTGGTTTCTTCTCTGCTTCTCTGATTTTCTGCACCCAAAATAAACCCCAAGTATTTATCATAACGGCGCCACCACCACCTGACGATGACCATAGCTGATTCGCATTTGTGGGCGTGTTAAATTCCAGCGACAAAGCCACTCCACTTTTAATTTGTATTCCGATTAGATACGCAATGAAACTGGTTAAAATATGTTTTTCCTATCGAGTAAACAAGCCTCTAAATCGAAGTATTCGGAGTAGTGCACATGACGGCTGAGAAATGGCTCTTGTTTGTGGCAATTGGAACCGGAATCAGATCAGATCAGCTCAGCTCTCAAAACTCTGCTCCACTTTGAAATGCATGCATTTACGAGTTTGTTTCAGAAATCAATCAAATGCGAACCGGTTATGAAACGGCTAACACTGTCAGTCGACCAGTCGACTTGTTTCTTTGCTTACCGATACGAGATCATCTCAATCAGATCCCCAGTACCCCCATCTATCAGTGAGGGTTACATCACCTGAGCGAGAATTATTTATGATGGGGTTTGAAGGAAATCAATCTCCATCTACAATCTCAAATTCGTTGTATTCCAGAATCTAACATTACTGGAAATCTTCCATACCAGAGATTATCGTCTGGTATTTTGACCTCTTTACACATAATTCCAGGTCTTTGGGACAACCCCTCCACAAACGAACGGAAGGCAGGGCAGCCACATAATTCAATGAAATTGCCTCTGCACGCAATTATATTTTTTTGTTTTTTATTTTTTTGGCGACCCCAATGATGAAATGATCACGTGTACTGCTAACTTTTGATTTGTTTTTGTTTATGTGTGCACGATGTGTGGCCGGTCAGTCGTCCATATGTACATACGGTTGTATCTGTTTATTTCTGGACAGTCGCCAGGTACTCGAACGAGTATGTAGTGCTTAACGGGCATATTGTATTACCGAAAACATGTTCGCAATGCGACAACAATGGCTGGTGGATGCTGCTGGTAATGCAACAGCCAGCAGCAGGGTGATGTGTGATGGAGAGGATACGACGCAAAAGTCTCTGCCTAGGTGGAACAATTGGATTATTATTTAGCCAGGGCTAGAAAACGTCAACTGGATATTCATATTCTATCCTAAAGGTATAGGTGCCCCTCTATTGATTTCACGTGTATTCATCTGAAAGAACACCTTTTTAATTGATTCCACCTGATCTCTCCCACCACACTCTTTAAGCCACACCTCGATCAAATTAAATACGATATAGTGCCCATATAGTACATATTATACATATAGTGTGTAGTGTGCATAATGGCAGTCAACCATTTGAAATACGAAACGAAGCCGGATCCACAAAGCGCATACACAACACAACACAACAAAACAATCTCTTCACATTTGGCTGACTTCTTGCCTGAAACCGAGTCCCCCCCAGTCATTATTCCATTTAATTTAGCTTATTTTTTTTAGAGGTTTGTGTCCCGGCCAATGCATTTTCAATTTAATTACAATTAAATTTCAGTCAAAACAAAAACAATTAAAGAGAAGTGGCGCTCCGCCCCGCGAAAGGTGAATGAAATGTCAAATGTGTGGCATTCAATATCTCCAAAAATATTCACAGTGGAAGAGTTTTTAATGCAAATTGAAATGAGTCGGAAAACTGTCAAAAAACTAGAGGATAGAAAATTGAAAATTGGGAAAATATATATGTATATATTTATGGCCTTTATGGAAAATATATATTTATGGAAATCGGAAGACTTGTATTTCTGTGTCTTGTACGCCCTTGATTTCTCTTCTTTTCAATCAGATTTCTCCCAAAAGATGCCATACACTTGACTTGATTGAGAGTGAAAGATAAGAGGAGACGTGAAATAAGTGATTGAATTGATGGGAAAGATCTGTGAGAGGGGTTGACTGATAACTGGGTTATGTGGGCCACAAGTGCAGAAGTTTGAAGAACTCTCTTTCAGAGACAAACACTCAGGAGATCTATGGAAATATTCAGAGAGTGAAGTGCCATACGCGATAAGAGACAAACAAGCGGAAACGTTTTACTTTAATTTAAATTTAGATTTATTTTCCATACACGATCCATGGAAAAGTTTTCCCTTGAGCTAAATTTAATTTCACTTCAGGAAAATGATTCAGAGCCCAAGAAATCTTCGCCAAGAAGAGTCAGAGAACGTTTAAAGGTTTTGTACTTAAAATGATTGCTTGGCGACTAGCAATTTGGTGCAATTTTAAGCAATTTAACTAAGCATTTAAATGGACTATATATTATATTATATTATTCATAAGGGAAATTACGAGCACGCAGAGAAAGGAAAGGATCACAACGCGTTCATCATAGTTCCATTTTGATCTTAAGTAACAATCATAATGGATAATAGTATTGTTTATTATTTTCATGTTCGATCAATGATCGATGTTCGATGGCATCTCTATATACAGTATCTATATCTCAGCCATTAGAGTTCCATCTTCATCTTTAAGACCCACTCCAAAAGGGATCACAATGCAATCTAAATATATCTTTATGGAATCTATTTGATTCGATTCCCATCCTTATTGGAAAAACATTTACACGATCATTATTCGTGGTGGACATTTCGGGGCAGTAGACGAAATTCCAATGGGTCGTCTGTGGTGGGGTGGGGACTCCTTTATAAGGTGAGCGCTGTCCCAATGTTTATGGCCAAGGCATTGAACACTTTTGGCTTTCGGCTTGAGACGCGATCGGCTTACAAAATGCGATGCATTTTGAAATTCAAATTTTATTTAATCTTGATATCTTTTGGGCACTTTCATAAGACTTTCACCCCGAACAGAAATGGCGAGGAGACTAATATATTTTTGTGGTGTGGGATTTTGTGGTTTGTGTTTTCCTCATTTTCATATTTACCCTTTTCTTGATGTATTTAGCTATTTTTGAGATTTTCATGGCTTTGGCGCTCATTTTGGCAACGTTCTCTGCCAGCGGCAGCAGCGACTGCGGACGCAAAGATTTGCTTTTTCTCTTTGTCTTCGTTTATTTCCTTTCTTTTCTTTTGCCGCTTCGCTCAGGCGTTGCTAATTTTGGACACGCTTTTCGCTCTCTAGCAGTGCTGATGCGGAGGACCGAAGAACGAGGACCGAAGGTGTGGCGGAAAACCCAAATATATAATGTTTGCACAACTGCAAGATCTGCCAGATCTAATAATTTCTATAATTGGCGCAAAAGTCACATTTTTGGGAAACACTTTCTGAATCGGAGATCGCGGATCTAACGCGGAGAGAGTGACACAGAGGGAGAGAGGGAGAGACGTGACTGTGCGGCTTGAATGTTTTGCGAAAACTAAAACACAAAACATACATTCGAGCCGTCGTCGTCGTCGTCCCCACCAGCAGCGACAGCAGCCACAATAACAACACTAAAAACCATATCAGCAGCAACAAAACGTGGCTCAGCTGCTGCTGCGGCCAACGACGTTGCTGTTGCTGCTTCTCTGCTGCGGCTGCTGCTTTTGATAGCTCGTCTATGACGACACGACTGTGGGAGAGGCTGCGTGACTTGATTGAATATTGTAGGCCGTCAGTGTGGTGCAATGGCAATGGGGTTGCTGGCACAGTGCATGTCGAATTGGATTGACAGTGTCCGATCAATTCATTATCTTGTGCCATTCATTATCTTGTGCTATTAGACAGATGGGCTAATATTTTGGACCGATAGTGTTGATGCAACTACATTTTGGTACAAAATTGTTAGCTGCCAGTGAAGCAGGATAATTCTTTGCTATCACACTGCGCCGCTATCCACCTACTAATATTTACTAAAACTTCTGTTTAATGGACATGAAATTGGATCAATACTGCCGGATGCACCTAATATTTACCCCCACCAGTGTGTTTTATCGCTGTCTTTTGTTCTCTCTTCAGAGCTCCAACTCCGCCCTGACTATTTTCCAGACCACCAGTGTGTCTTTAATGCATTTAATAGGCTCTTTGGGCCTTACCAAACATTTCGATCACCAACCAGTGCGGTCTCCCCTCTCCTTTACTCTCTTTCCCTGGCCTTCCAATGTGACTGCATTCGATGAGGGGGCCTTCCATGCGACTCTCTCTTCAGTAAGTGCTTGCGGATTGTTTGTCTTTGCGGTTTTGATTTACAGCTATGCAAACATATTAAATGCCATGCTAATCAATTGACCAAACACAGTCTATATTTATTGCCCTTCTGTGCATGAGCGCCACTGTTCAACTTGGCCATTTTTAAATGAAGCATTTTTTTGTACATATGTACATATGTATATTTATATACATATTTACGTTCCAGGAAACGGAAAACCGCAATCTCTAGTAAGATTTTAATCAGTTTTTAGAAGTGGAATACTTTAATGGAAAATTCTTCATATCAATGAGATTTTAGCCCTATAAAAAAGTAAATTATTGCAGAAAATGATCAAACAATAGAACAATAGAGGAAAAATAGATCCATTTGAAGGATTATTCTCTAATCTGTGTAATACATATGTAAGTAAATAAACTTAGTATATAATATGAATAACTCGTTATGTATTCACATAAAATTACAATCCCTTGCCCCGAAAATACCTTGACTAATAACTTATGAAAAACACCTCAACATCTGTTAATTATGCATACTCGTACAAGGCCGCACCCCACACAACCCCGAACAGGCGTCACCACCTCTCATGAGTAAGGAATATGAGAGGGTCTTCAAGTATGTAATGCCATCGTATGAAAAACAAGCTCTTACCGCTCCCATTTCTTAAAGCCTCCACCAGCCTCCCTCCCTCCACATACCTACCTACCACATTAAGGCGCCGTTAAACAATTGTTTATGGGGTGATCCATTAACGAAATGCGCAATTAAATATGTATAAGAAATGCATTTAAAATTGAGCAGCGAAAACTCTTTCAAGTGAGAGAGTGATATTCGCATGCAAATTGACAAGACTGTTCTCTCAGCATCGATGTCTCTGCTTGTTTGCAAAAATTCATTGAAACCAATTGATCGGACAAGTACAATATCCAATACAATACAGATATACCCCTCTATATATGTATATACTAAACATATACATACATACATATATGAACAATTGGAAGCCAAAGTTGAGTATTGCTGGCGTCAGCGAATCATCAGTGTGGGGGGGTGGGGTTGTGAATTCGGGGACTACCGTTTCTCGTATGTGGCAGGGGCACTGTGTGCGGTGGGGCTTTCGATCCTGCGCAGCTAATTGATCATTTAGGCAACAACAACCGAAAAAAATGAATAGAAGCAAAGCTCTAAAATAAAGCGCATCATTTGGCTTTTACTCAGTTTATTCTGCTATTTTTGTACACCTACTCGCACTAGAACCGGATTTGGCTTACAAAATAAGAAAAATATGCGATGATAATGATGATGCTACCCCCAATCAACGGAGAAGCAACAAAAAACAGAGACACAAACTGGCTAAATGACAATCGCTATAAGCTGGATTTAAATTTGTATTTAATTTAAATTTAATTATAATATAGTTACGTTCGCAAGAGGGGGCTGGGCGGTTTCATTAGAGCCCAATTCGATTTCAATTAGAACAGGATTCGAATAGAAAGTGTACTTAAATTTAGTAGTTAACTGTATGCAAATAATTACTGCATAAATAAATACCCGCCTCGCACGAGTCGGATAAACAATTTATGTTCACGGCACGCGCGCTCTCTCTCTCTCTCTCTCTGGCATAAGTAGACCACAGTAAAAATAACGATCCGAAACAGGTTTGTGTATTATAATAATGATGCTCCTGATGTTGAAGTTGATGATGAGAGCACATCTCTGAACATCTTTTGCTTTAGTTATTCATTCATATGTCATTTTTTTCAAACAATGGTCCGCTTGGGTGACTGCTAAATAATAATTTCGTGTTCTGATTGGTGAAGAACTAGTTTGGGATGTTTCAAATTTCAACAGCTTTTGTGCAAACGGCATTCCTCTAGGCATCAGGGAATGCGCCCAAATACTCAGTGAAGAAATAATTCTGAAATATCTAGATCTCAAGATCTGACTGTATATATCAGGCATCATCTCTATCAAAAATCTATATTAATTAACCAATCATCTAGCAGCTGCTCGTTTAATCAACCGCCAACTGTTTGCTTGACAAATGAATAAGCGATATGCAAATATCGAATAACATTTAATGATGAAATAAAGGCCAGCATATCAATATCAGATCAATATCTGGCCCACTTGTGGGGCTATAATGCAGCTGAGAATTGTAATCCACATGCCGGCAATCTGTGTTCAAGCTACATATTACTTAATGTTTCACTCCCTAGATAATCCCAAAAATTTATTATTTATTTTCGGCACTCTTCAAAGATAAGCCCAGAAATTACGCAATTGCTGGGCAGTAATAGAGCTTTTGGTCGTTAACGGATCATCTAGTCGAACATCAATTAAACACAGATTGTTGGCTCCGTTCAGCGCATTGTTTGGGGCCTCTTTGAGGTCTCCATTTTGAAGATCTTTGCATTGCTTGGGGCTACGGAAGCAATCACCATACAAATATTGATGGCTGCTTCGTTGGATTCCGTTATGGAGAGAGATAACCTCTTTCGAGATTCTATTGATAGCTTTGTGCTCCCATAATATTATATACTGCTCACTCTTTTTTTTAATAGTTATAATTATAGATGTTTTGATGCGGCAGGCGGCTAATGAGGAAACAATTTGCTGATGCGCCGCTACATTGCCTGGGAGGCTGATAATGGGGCGAGGAGTGGGAGAATAATGCCTGAGCTTCAACCCGAACCGAACCGATAAGAACGAACCAGAAAACAGTAGCAGTAAATCAGTAACAGGAAAGTAATGGCATTGCTCAAGGTTCCCGCCCCCCTCAAGAGAATATCGACTCTATCTATAAGTTTTACCATCTCTATTGATCTTCTGATGGCTTTGCCAGACACAAATTACTCATCCATTGGTCGTGATGTTTCGTTTTGGATATGGCACGCTTATGGGAACGCGATGGGATGACATGAGAAAACGTGTCCACAAAGATTGCGCAAATAAATGCCATGCCGGACTCCTACCACTGAGTGATAACGCACAAAAGGCGCTAATTGTTGTAAAAATGTTTATAAATATAATGCTTGAGATCAAGAGCTGGCCTCCTAAAGTGCGAAAGCATTACGAAATGGAACTCGAATCCAAATCTACTCGTAATTAGCATATCAATTTGGGGCCTTTGTATTGCTAAACGAAGAATGTGGTTAAGAGAATATCAACTGGGGAGGCAACTGGAACTGGAGCTCCAGGGGAGGGGGTTGCTTGCTTGGAGGCAATGTTGGACTGTTGCCTGTGGTGGTATAGACTTAATAGTTCTGTATATATTACGCATGTAAATGGGTTACGTTGGCTGTTAGGCTAGGGGCTAGGTAATGCGGCGTGTGTGTCTGTTTCTGTTTCTGTTTTGTAATGATCGAGCCCAAAAGTGACACCTCACTGGGGTTTGAAGCCATCAAAGTGTCGGGGAGGTTCATGAACTCAATTTCAGTATCAAGTGATACGAGGTACGAGAATTTCATGATGAAGTGAACAAGATGGCAATTAAGCACTTTTATTATCTGGTTAGGGTTTAAAGCTTGAACTAATTGTTTAGTTTAGTTTAATTGTTTAAACTAAAACTAGTTCTCCAATTGATCTGGGAGTAGAACCGGTTCAACAATTAGTAACATTTCTCTTGGTATTATTGGTGTCCTTTTATTTCGCCCACATTTCATTTCAGGTTTCCTCAAACCCACATATTGTTGTCCTTAAATCGTTTTCATCAATTGATTTGTATACTATTTTTGAATGCAATGAAAATGTTTGAAATTTCGAGAACAGAGAGAATAAAATACGAGGCCAATCTTTCAAAGAAAACAAAAAACAAATGCGAAATTCGATACAGAATGATTTTGAAATGCTCGCTTGAGAGAGAGATAGGGATAGATGAGCCAATGTCTTATAAGATAAACAGTTATACAAAATACATAATACGTGGAATGGGATGATGGAACCAATGCTTGGGGAGTGTGGAAATTTGAAACTCTTGTGCCACAGTGCCACAAAACAAGTGCTGAAAAAAGAGTGGTGCCAAAGAAATGTTTGATCTACCGTTTTCTTTTCTAGATTTCGGTTGTTTTCCGGTGGGTTGGGTGGTAGGTGGGTGGTACAAAAACAGAACCAGATATACGAGTGCATAAAGTGCTTTGAAAACTACGAAAAATAAAAAACATAAACTAAAAAAACCAGCGAGCATATTGGAAAATCAACAATCAACAATAATATCCAACAGAAAAACAAAAACCATAAACTAAATCGAAAAATATGCAAAAATTCAAAATTTTCACAAAAGTTCCAAAAACGATTTTTCTTTTTGTTATTTTTTGTAGTATTTGTTTTGGTTTTGGTTTTAAGTTTAAGTTTTTGGTGCGGACAACACAGTAAGGTTTGGTTTTTTTTTAGGTGAAGAATTCGTATTAAAGGATTGATTTTTCCTAACCTCGCCGCCCAACATTTCCAAGTCATGCGATGCGGCATGGGAAGCCGTTTTAATGATCTTGTAGGTCTTGGCGAACGGTGCCTTTATAAGCTGTTTGTAGTTCAACAGAGGTTAAATAATATCATGTCATATATATTGTATGTAAAGTAATTGCACAGTAGTTTTCATTTCATAATAATAGAATGCAGTTTATAGTTTTGGGAGCCCATGGTGGTAGATGGTTTCGATTTCATTTAGATCAAATCAAAGGCAAGGCAAATCAATAAAGGAAAAAGAGACACGAAAAAGGAAGAAGAAAAACAAGAGAGAAAAGTAGAAGAAAACGCATGTACATACAATGCACGTGGGGGGAAAAAAATGTAAACAAGATTTGCAAGATTTATATTGTATGATTTATATACTATTATTATGTAGAAGAAGAAATTTGGCATAAAATTCATTGATTAATTCCTAACCTAAAGGGGCAGATATTTTATAGTTCTTTGAAAAATTAGAACGATTCGAGGGGAAGAACTCAGCGCATAGAGTGAAAGATACAAGAGGGAAGAGAGGTTCGTTCCTGGCCAGAGGCTTGGGCGGGGGAGTCTATAGATAAAAGGTGGACTTACCTCCCAGGACTCGCGGGTGAGGTCGCTGATCTCTTCGCCATCCTGGCTGCCGCCGCCGAGGCCAGCCTTGGTGGTGCCGCTCTTTGTCCACTCAGTGTCCTCCTGGATCAGCTCAAAGCCACGCGCCTTGATTTGCTCTTCGTCCAGCTCACCGTACAGGTGTTTCACCCAGGTGTTTATGAACCGATAGAGCTCATCAACGCTGAAAATGGAATGATATATCATCAGTAACACATTCTGAAGGGTGCATTCTCATAGTAGCTGCTAACATACCGATTTTTGGGCACACTGAACCAATACTCGGCGCGCAACTTGTTCTTGCCGTAGGACATGACAGAGGTTGGCAGCGGTATGGCCTTGCCAATGGGCTTGCCCATGCGCAGGCGCAAATACAAAGGTGGGTCAAGACAGGCTCTTGCCGGACGTGGGATGAGTTCTAAATGGAAATATACCAAGTGTGAGTGATCAAGTTTCATTGGAATAAAAGCCTTTCTCTTACTGTCCACACTGATAAATAGTTCGGGTTTGTCATCCATGGAGACCATGGAACGATAGTCCAGCTTGGGCGCCTGCTTGGCTTCCTTCAGTTTGGTGCTGGACGAGGTTCCCTCCGACGAATGCGGACGTATAAAGGTACCAATTGAGGAACGTCTATGGGAGGCAGCGATAGAACATAGAAATTAGTATAAATATAAGCCACAGACAATCGGAGAGTGATGGTACGATGATTCAAATTTACACTGGGAACTGATAAAATGCATTGATGATGAATCGAAACCAACAAAAAATCAAAAAAGGAGGCTGTGCTCATTGGAACAAAGAAGAATTTCTTTAGTTTCTCTTTTCTTAGGTGGAAACACTACAACATCAAAATTCAATAGCAACAACAACGACAACAACGACATCGGGGATCCAAAATCCTTCCTTACCCATAGGTCATATGACCCTCGGAATGTGTCGAATGCGGAGTCAATGGCGGCACTGGCGAGCCACCAGAGTCTTCGGACGGTGTTTTCGAAAACAGATTCCCGCCCAGCTCTGACACCAGAGTAATGGGCGAGCTGTACGTTGTGTGTGTGCGTGTGTATACAATTGTTGTGTGTTGAGTGTTGCATGAGTATGTCGGTATCGGTATGATATGTTGTGTGTGTTTCATTTTATATAGCAAAGCAGCCGATCCGCATAAAACGAAGGTAAGCATTTTGGTTTTTGTGAATTGTTCAGTTTTCAGTTTTCGAAACGAAATAAACAAAATTTGTTGGCACCAATTATAGTCAAGAGATCGATAGATGGTTGCAAATGTTAGCTGGGGAATGCGCACCTTGAGAATACTTTCGAAAAGACACTCTGATTGGAGTCGCCCGTGTTGGGCGCCGAATCAGTGTCCGCCGACTTGTTGAGGCTGCCGGTGCCGCTGCCAGGGGCTGGCACAGCTCCGCCTTCGCCGGTGAGGCCCTCGACCCACGTGAGGGGGTACGAGAGGCGCTTCAGCATCTATAAAGTTACAAATTCGAATTAGTATCAGTTGATCAGGTGATCGGTTAGCTGTCGAATCTCTACCTTGTTCTTCTTCTCCGACTGCTTGTCACTGGCCAAAGTGGCCGCCACCTGTGCCTGCACCTGGGCCTGCTGTGCGGCCTCATCGTCCACACTGAAGCTCACGCTGGAGGTCTTCTTGCGTGCCCCGCCAGCACCGGCACCAGCGTCTAGGCTCTGTCCCAGAATGGTGCTGCGTGGCGGCGACTCGCTGAAGTGCGTCGGCACAATGTTTTTCGGTGGTACCCAGTCCGAGCTGAGGACAATGTCAGCGTCGCTGTAAACGGTTTTCTTTGGTATCGGCTGTACGTTGGGCACGGGCTCCCTGATGTCGATGCCCGAGTCGTAGCACGACTGCTTCGACAGCTGCTCCAGGTGCTCCAGGTCAATGCCCGATGGTGGTGGCAGCATGCCGGCGCCTGGAAACTGTCCCCCAGACATAGCTGCTGCTGCTGCTCCAGAAGTAGTGCCGGCGGCAGATCCCCCTAGGGTTATGCTGCTGTGTGGTACACCGCTCACCGAGCTGGTAGCAGAGAGGGGATCCTGGCTGCGGGCACCGCTATCCACAGTGATGTTGGACTCGTTGTCGGCCTCGTCTTCCGATGATCTTCGGGAATTAGACAAACAATAGCTGAGTAATTTGTTCGTGCAGCGTGGATACACATACACACACAGAGATGTGGTTGGTGTTGTCGTGTGTGTGTGTGTAGATGTGAGTGTGTGGGTGTGTGCGGTGTGATGTTTCGTTTGTTGTGCAAAGCATTTGGATTGATAACGAAAATTGCGTATATGATTAGGTTTGAGGCGTGGCGTGGGTCGAAATATGAAAATAAAAACGCAAAAATACAAACAGAAAGTTATTAACAAGCATAAAAAAGCAACAAAAAAGGAGGCTTCTTTGGCAGGCCAAAGATTAGGCGGTGTCACTAAATGGTTTCTTATCTGAATAGAGTCTAGAATAAGGCGCACATCTAATTAAAAACCCAAATACGGTCAGTATTTAATCTAATTTCGGTATAAAATAATAGCAAGCACATTCTATTCTGAGGAAAGACATCTGATCGAATATTCCTATTAATTAGTGGACATTTTCTTATAAATATACCGGTCTATACCAGCCATTGAATATTGGTAATTGCTAAAAATAAAACATATCTCAGGTGTATTTACCATTATGGTAAAAGATTCTATGGCAATTCCCAAATAATTTGATTTGATTTAGACATAAACTATATTGAATATAGAGCACGGAACAGTATTTAAACGGACAAATGGATGTACAAAAACTCGACATCGGCTTCAACAGCGAATCTTCATTTGGCATGTGATATAGGAGACGTCACAGAAAGCATAACAAATATTATTTAAATAACAAAAAGGCTGTGTGCACAGTGCGGTGCAGTTGTTCACACAGTGAGAGTGGAACCGTGGAAGATGTGCAGGTGCAGAGGCACAGCTGAGCAAACACTAACCGGTCTTTGCTCGGAATAGCCCAGTGATGGTCCAACAGACTCTTGCGTCTCTCCTCCAGGGTGGTGCGAGTGTCTATCAGGGCCAGGCCAGTTTTCTTATCCTCATCCTCAGCGTCAGTCTTAGCGCTATCTTTGGCTTCCAACGAAGAGTCCTAAAGATTTGAATAGTTTAGAGGAATGTGTCATGGAAGTGGGAAGGACTGGGACTGGGAGAGGGAGAGGGACTCACCTCAATACGTTCACGCTCAAAGGCCTTGGGGAAGGCATCACCATCGCGTCCAGTGCTGGAGCAGAGTGACTCCTGGTCATCGGTAATCTCCAACGAACCAATTTCAGCTGAATATGGAAGATGCATGAAATTAGTTAGCTAAAACAAACAAACAAAATAATATTATATGGCCAGGACTCACCCTCCAAACGCTCTTTGCTGGCATCGGCATCGTCGCCCATCAGCGGCTGCTGCTCGGACAACTCCTTGGAGTCCTCCTCGACTAATACTGGTTTCGGATAATAGATCTCTGGCTTCTCCGCCTCGCAGCTGCCGGCAGCAACACTGGGACCGGCTCCACCCACCACACGCATGTGCGCAATGTCATGGAAAATGGCCGCATTCACCACCAGATCCATGGGAGCAATCACGCCGTAGCTCTCCGCCTGGTGTTCGATCACCAGCGGATCGCTGACATTCGGATCGAACATGACGGCATTGGGGGTGACCAGCAGGACGCCGCCCACAACGCCCTGGCCGTCGGTGATGTGACGGACGTTGATCTTGAGGAAGCGTTGCGTAATGACCGGATCATCGCTCTTGTTGGCCTCGTCCTCGGCCTGGCTGTTGCCGCCCACGCGCTCGATGTGGCCCGGCTTGGGGGATCCGGGGCGCAGACCCTCCAGTATGTCTGTAAGGAAGAACATTCAAGACTTGTGGTTAGACGGGGGGCTGCTTGCTTGGATGGGATTCGGTGCACAGGTGATTTTCGGTGGCCGCAGAACTACTGTGATTTTTATCAGCCGTCCGATAAGATAGTGCGATGGGCGTTGGGCGATGGCCTGTGGTTGTGCCTGTGCCTTGGGGCTCTGGGGCGAACAGTTGATATATGGGCTAGTTTAAAGTAAATCTCCCCAGCGCCTTGTGACGCCCACGCTCACTGCTGCGACACCCACGAACGTTCGATAAATTGCGCCACAAAATGAGCATTCGACGCGGGACCAGATTCCGGCGGTCGGTCGCCAGATTACGTGACCTCCGGGCAAGAGCCTGCTCACATGCACTTCCGCAACAGTCATTGTCAACCCAATAATTAGCACATTTTCCACCAATTTGATGTGACAACAATGGAAAATTCAAAACTGAAAGCAACAAGAACCTCCATTCCGCCAGAAGACCGCCGTGTGCATGCTGATGTCGCCGCTTGGGTAAGTACTCCGTCCTGCTGCACTTTACAACGTGGCTCTAATGGTCAGATTGTCGATTGTAATCTTTCAAGGGTGCGAAAAACCGAAAAATACTCGATCGTGTTCTTTCGTCAATAAAAAAAAAGACAACATTGAAAATGGGCAGTGTGACCAGCTGCAGCTAGTGGAGAAATGTGCCGAACATATGACTCGGAACAGTGCTACCCAGCAGGCGCCTTTTGGTGTCTTTTTTCAAATGTTGTTACACTTTTTGTTGTTGTTTTTTTGCATGCAAAGCAAAACAAAAAAATGCAGGCGGCAAAATGCTGACTTCACTATTCATCGCACCAATTGCACCATTTCCAGCGCGACCTCGCTTACCTCTTTCCCGGCTCTCGTCGCCAGACAGCTTGCGCTCAATGGGACTGGACTTGCCCGAGATGCTGCCCCCGCCGTCGGCCCCCTCGTTGGTGGAGCTGCTGGCTCCATCCTCATCTTTGGCACTCTTGTCGGGCACCAGCAGCTGCTGTCCCGGATAGATGAAGGAGCTGTTCAATCGGTTCAGGTGCGTCAGCTCCGATGGGGTCGTATCGAAGCGGGCCGCCACCGAGGTCAATGTGTCGCGATTGCCCACGGTATAGGAAATGGTGGGTATGGTGGGCAATGAAGACTTTTGCCCTGCGAAAAAGAAAAACAATGCAAATCATTAATAAAACGTGTATAAAAATGTGTAAATTCGGATTCGCGTTTGTTGTTTTGTGGCAGTTGGTTTACTTGGTGGAATGCTGATGATGGAGGGCTTCGGCTGCTGCTCAAACAGCTTAAATGCCGCGCTATCGGGCCGCAGGTGGGAATATACGACAGCGGAGGCTACGGTGGGCGGCGTTTGATGCCGGCACAGGTAGATAACGGCAAACTCATTGCTCGGCAGGTGCCAATATATTTCAACCATTTCCAGCATCGCCAATTGTAATTATTTGTCAACTTTTTGTACATCAATTCACACTTCCGTCCGTTTTTCCCGGCTTTCATATTTATTTGCTAGTGATGGGATTTCTGGCATTCCTGAGAGTCCTGTTGGCTGGCCACACTTAAAATTAAGCCCAGTGTGGGTGCATTTGGCGGCATTTTCAAACAGTATTGTTCTGTTTGTTTGTTAACTTTATATAAAAATGACTTTGGGGACGATCCAAGGTGGCAGGAATACGGACACACGGACACGGACTCTGGGGCTCTATGCGTACGCGTCCATTAACAAACCTAGACCAAAGAAAATATAAGTATTCTTATATTGTCTTTGCCTAGACCCTCCTCGAACCAAACGAAAAAGAAACTAACAAATGTTTAGGGACTACAAAGTTTCAGAAATATTTTCCCTGTGATACCATAAAGCTGATAAGGTGCTTGATTTATGTGCAGGTACTCCCCCATGTCCCCATGCCTAATGCGTATGAAATTTCCCTGCAAATGACTCACGTACAAGCGAAACAATTGATTTTGTTGGCCGGAAAATATTTGCCAAACAATAAGTTTGATAACAATTCCATATCTCAAGCGGCGTTTCTATATCAACTTTTACTTCGATTGCTGATAAGTTAAGGCGGCAGCAGATAAGGAATGTTGCAAAACGAATTATCTTGTTCGCCAATATTTCCTATGCTAAGTAGTTGAAGTCTCATTCGTATTAACACAATTGTTAGAGTACCCCTAATAGCACTTGAGCACCCCAAACAACTATCGGTAACACTGTCGCTGACCAGACGAAAATCAGCAAAAAGAAAAAATAAATATGCAAATGGAAGAAGCGGAAAATGTACACTTAACATTAACATTAACATTTAATTAACATTGGACTTTAACAGTATATCTGACAAAAGCTCGCCGCCATGAAAGTGGAAATTTGTCACTCTGACTAAAGCTGGCCGCCACGAAACTGGGTGTTTTGTCACCCGCTTGGTGCCATAAATAATATTATTGAATTTCAATCTATAAATTTGACACTTTTTCTGAATGAGAATGAAGTCTGAAATAAATATATAAGCCAATGTGCAATAAAGGTTCGCTATCCTGTCCGCTTCGTTCCTGCTGCTACAGCATCTAAGCTGTTCCCTCGCGCTATATATATATACATATATATATATACATTTATATATATATATATGTTAGTAGCAGACTCTTGAAATTTTTCTTGAGCGTTTGAACATTAAATTGGAAGAGCTCGACTTATTAATTAAAACAAAATCCAATTCCACAAAAAATCCTTTTAGTGTGAAATCCTTTTGTGGAAATACTCACTTGATAGCTTGTCCACACTCTCGAAACGCTGCTCCACCTTTGAGCGCAGCGAATCCAAGTCAAACGGAGCCGCCAGGCCATGATCCACGCTACGCGATTTGCTCCTGTAAATCGTCACGATGTTCAAGGAGTGAAAGATAGAGGAGAGAGAGGGGAGAGAGATAACGGTTATAGAATCGATTGGGGAACATTCATATCATAGTATTGTACGATCGCAACCGATTGGCGGCAATCTGTTGCGATCTTTATCACTTACAAATTTTTCAGCTCGCAATTGTGGCCATAACCGGCTAATAACAATTTATTTATTGGGTTCTCGTTTGGTTTTTAGCTGTAGTTTTTTTCCCCCCGCTTGTATTTGTTTTTTTGCGCTTTGCGCTTTTCGTATTACGTATTTTGTTATCGTTTTGTAAAGTTTATCTTGACAATCAGCCAGGTGCCCGAATAAGGCAAACGACGCATTTTTAAATGTTTTTTCCACAAACGATTTCTACTCGAATTCAGCCTTTAAATGCCTGGGGACGGGGACTGTCACGACTCTCGAGTAGATGCGGTTTGTCCTTAAAGTGTTTCTCTAAATGTGTGCTAGTTGATGGGAATCTCTCATGGAAAGGTACATACGAGTTGGTGGGGGATACGGGCTGCAGTGATTTAACTATTCGACCAAAGGCTATGTTTTGAGCTAAAGTCAAAAGTGAAGGGTAGTTAAATTCTATCGGGAAACCTCTCTGAAATTGATTGATTTGTTTCTAAGAGTACCTTTCGGAGTTAGTCCATTCCCGTTTCCATAGACCAAATATAGAAATCTCTACTGGGTGAGGGCCTTTCGCTTCTCTAGCGTTGCCCCACATAAAGTAGGTGATGCTCAAACAATCGTTACTTATCAGTCGAGTGACTCTCTCTATTTTAAATCGAAAAACGAAGTAGTAAACCGAATTAACGATAAAGATCCCTTAAAATGGAGCGTGAACCGTGCCCCTTTCGCCTGCTGGAGGACTGCGGCGGTGCCTTCGTCATGGGCGCCTTGGGCGGTGGGGCCTTCCAGGCCATCAAGGGGTTTCGCAATGCCCCCTCGGGCCTGAGTAATCGGCTGGCGGGTGGTATGGCCGCAGTACGCGCTCGTTCCGGCCTGGTGGGTGGCAACTTTGCTCTGTATGGCGCCATCTTTAGTAGCATTGATTGCGCTCTGGTCTACTGTCGCAAGCGGGAGGATGCCTGGAACTCGGTCACCAGTGGAGCGGCCACTGGCGGGATACTTGCGGCTAGACAAGGTATGGTTTTCCCTTAATATTCATAGGGGATTTTCTGATACCCTTTTTGGCAAGGTCTCAAGGGTATGATGAGCAGCGCTTTGATTTGTGGCGTTCTTATGGGCCTAATCGAGGGGACCAGCATTCTTATGGCCCACCAATCGGCGGACCAACTCCGCCAGTTCACGTCTCCGGATCGCACAAATGAAATTCCCCAGCAGAAGAAAAACTTTTCCAATTTGTACACTAATTTTACGGAGGTAGGTTCCTCCACTTCAGAGCAACATTTTATCTGCATATAATATCGTCCCACTTTATTTCAGGCCAATCCTTCGTCAATTTAGAATATATACATACATATATACGTATACACTTCTGCGTCATGAGTCGATCCCTCAGATCCTCGATCAATAGTTCGATGATTCTTGCATACAAATTTGTATTTTAGATTCTTTTGATTGCTCGTTTCCATTTCAATTAAAATTCATTTGTCGTGCATCGCAAGTCTTAGAATCTTTAATATATTTTTCGCTTCGTTTTTCGTTTTGTTTTCGTTTCTGTATTTGCTTCGCGCATGCCTCCGAGACATTTTTCTTTATATGTATATGGTCACAGACGATGGCTAGTGACGATATCGGAGGCGCGTGTGTGCTTCCTAGCTTCCATACTTGTAATTCCATAACGAACCGTACACTCCCCCAATCCCCTGCCTAGATCGTTCCCCCTTCCTCGCCGGCAGCAGTTATCTACAAACTTGGCAAAGTGAGAATTATTTGACTACCGTCCGCCTTTGATTTACGGGCCTCAGCCAAAGCTAAAGCCAATTTGCTTAGCTATTTCTGTACAATTCCTGGATAGATATAGATACGAGCAAGTACAGTGGAGTCAACGGCAGGGGAACATGTTATAGAAGGATCCATAGATATTTCCTCTGCCATCTTCAACGAAATGTCTGCCAAAGGAAGCGTATCGATTCCATTGCTGGAATATATTCTGAATCACTTTATAGTTCGTTTGTGTCATTTGATGATTGACAAAACTAATTTCCGTTGCCACATTCAAAGGAAATGCTCTCCCATGTGCAAGTTTTCCGTCTGCCAAAGTTGGTTGCGAGAAATTGAATCAATTGATTGACAGATGCTCCTCCGATGCAACATTGAATGGCAGACAACCAAGAGGAATATTTAAAAGGAATTCCTGTCGGTTTCTTTAAATGCTTGAGCGGCTTTCTTCCTCCAGAAATATTTAAAAATAATACAAAAATGCCATTTGCGCGTGTCCGCTCAGTGCGTTGCCAATTAGCGGGCAAACGGCGATAACCATTATTGAATATCAATGAAAATCAGATTAAAAATACCAGTGTATTCGTGGATCATATATGCCACGGCAACTGGCATCAGGCGGCGCATGCTTTTGCTTTTTGCTTTGCTTTTTTTTCAAAGATAAACAACAAATAATTGGGGAAATAATAAATAGTTATTAAACGAAAATTTGTCGCATTTCGTATTTGTTTTATTTAAGTTTAAAGAACATAAATAAAAATCCGTGGGGCCATCGAGGGGTGTGGACCTACAAAACAAAATAACTTTCTTCACAATCTTTCACGATCTTTCTCCTCAGTATTTCACTACAGTCCCCCTAGCCACCATCCTTTCCCGAATCATCCCATCTCTGAGGCCATCCCTAGGCCATCGGACCTTGCCGTGAAATTTCAAGTGAAAAACCTTTGGCAAAAACAAAGTCTAGCAGAAACAACTGTGTTTGATTTTGAAGTTGGCAACATTTGACGACGCAATGCGAGGCGATGCCTGGCGGGGCTCAAGTAATATTTATTCTGCTTTTCATGGAATTTAATTTATAATTTATTGAGTTCAGGCAGCAGTGGAGCGGAATCTCGTTTGCACAGTTGGTTTTGGCTCAAATGGAATGGAATTTCGCCTGTTGTTCCTCAAGTAAACATGAATAATTCCACGATATATGACATAAATATTATTTCTGTGGCAGGTTGTATTTATTTTTCGCATATTTCTGTCTTTGGTTGTCATGGGATCAGTAGGAGGAGGTCAACAGCAAGGCGCGGCAATATTATATTTAATTCAGAGAATCTTTGATAGAATTAGTTTCTCCTAAATGGTTCCTATCCTCCCATACATTTGCCATCAATTATTTGTGATTATTTTACACCCCATTTTACACAAAGTCAATGCCATTTCCTAGATCCCATGTAATACTCGTGCACCCAACAATTATCAGCAATAATAACCACAGCTAATCGGTAGATAGCCCAAACAACTTATTTACCTAACGACTAAAAGTTAGACACGCTTCCGCATAAACCCGTTGGTCACACTAAATATTTACTACAAAATATATACTCGAATAAAAGATGTAAAACTCGCTTGTGGGAATCTCTATCTCAGCCATAAAAAACACTCCGAGTGCAGCAGTACGAGTATTTTACAACCCAACGGGTTCCGCCTCGTAAATGGCAGTAGCTACAGTTTTGGGCATGTTGCAGAAGCACAAGTCATTGAGGGCACGATCCATCCATTGTTCCACTCATAGTTTTAGTTGCACATATACTCGTACATATCTTATCACTCCCATAGTGTTTGCTGTCGATAAGTTGGCCCTGGGCTGCGATCAGTGGCAGTGGCAGCCACAGTAGGAGCCATGCCGCCAAAGTTGTTGCCTTACTGACACCATTCCGCCCCTAGCCAAATGTCAACAACCCGTGAGGGCTTTGCCTCAAGTACTCGGTACTGTTTCGGTTACGGTTGAATACCCTTGAAGAAGGGTATTACGATTAAGCGAAGAAGGTTGCAACAGTGTGAGGGAGCCCTGAATATTCCATATAAGTATGTGTCCGCTCGTATGTTTCGATGGTAGCTCTTTTTAATGTCATATGTATCTGTATGGGAAGAACTTTAGCATCTTTCATGAAAATCAAAAATCGCTCTTCAAGTGTATCTATATCTTCTCCTAGCCGATCCCGAATTTTATTTATTGTTTTCATTGATTCATAGACAGTCCGAGTTCGAACTTAAGCCCATGACTCAGTGGGACTCGTACTTGTACGTAATCTGCGACGCACAAAAACATCAATTATTGTATTGAGTCTGAATGCAATTGTGAAATTGATAATGGAAGTACTTCTTTTACAGCTGATTCGGTTAATGATTTGTAATAAATACGCAAATGACTCATGTGAAATCGAGACTCGAGACTCTGCCCGCCTCCGCCTTGAGGTAGGTTTCTGATCTGTTTATTTGGCATTGACTTTGGTTCAAAGTCAGCGACAGCGTCAGTGTGGGGTACGAGTATGTCTATTGGAATGGAATGTACGTCGAAGCCAAGTTAGTCGTCAAATGGTCGCCTAATCATATCTTAACTTTTGTGAAATCTATATAGATTATGGAATTTGGTGGGGTTAAAGGTATAAGCTGTTGCTTTCTGGTTTTGAAATTGAATGTGGTATTTGAAATCTCTCCATTGGGGGGCATAACCGTAGTGTATATCCATTTAACTGCACTTTTTACCATCTTCATGATCGTAAATATCTCTATCCTTTTCTTTATGCGTTCTGCAGCATCACCCCTCGGTTTGCTTTACGTTTGTTATCTGTTATCCGCGTGTAATACGCTTTGGCTTGCAGTCACTTGGCTACGCTCTCATGTTCTACCTATTGAAATCGTCTACTCTACAAAATCATTGAATACCTTATCGGGGCACCGTTTTCACCCGTAAACACTAGCACCATCTACCTGGTCCCTTCTATCTTTCAACATCAATTAAATATCAGCAATTTATTTATACTTATACTCGCGTACGTCGTGGACGGGTCTTATAAATTATCAAAATTCGTTAATAAGACGACAGCAAACATTAAGATTATCTATAAATAATCTGACTCTGAGTGCAAGTGTAATTTGAACACTTGCCTCACTCTCTCACTCTATAAATTATCCATATCTGTCGTTCTTTCCGACTCGTTTATTTATTAAGGTAATATTTGGAGCATACTATATAATGTGTAGTATTTTATTCGATGGTAAATTGTTTAAATGCTCAACGGTTATGGCTCACAATTGGCTGAAAAGTTTGCTTCAAAAATATATGGTATACTTATTGATCAAATATATGTACATGTATAGAATATAGTGTGTGTGAGAGCATGCTATAAGTAAGAGTGCTATTAGGTCAGGCCATGCAACATTCAACAGAGATACAAAGATACATATTAAATATATATGTATTTATATAGGATAAATATTGTACATATGTCAGGCAGAGTTGCATTCAAGATTCAAGGGGTTTCCTCTATGGCGCTGCCTCATTTGCATTGGTTTATGTGTGTGCATATGTTTGGCTGTAGGGGGGCTGTGGGGGTGAATGTGTGTGTCTATGTGGAATTGTTAGTTGCAACTTACCTGCGAACGGGTATCGCCAAATTGTCAACACTGCGTGACAAACTGGAAACATCTTGACTAGCCCTACGTGACCTGGCACATCAGGAGCCAATTAAATGTGAAAATTGTGCCAAAAAGTAATACGGGAAATAATGGAAAAGAGAAGAAAAGAAAGGGGGGTGGAGAAAATCATAAAGTAAATTAAAAGATAATTACGAAATGGAAAAATCGAAATACAATCGTATGTATCTCTGGGTTTAACAAACGCCAGTTTATGGAATGCACACGTAGTAGAGGGACGGGACCCGCCACTAACCCACTCAAAACCGATTATCGGGGATCTCTTTCTACATAAGATGTATGTATGTAAGTCTGTGCCCCTTGTAGTACATATATTTAGTATTCGCGCACGTGGTCAAGTTGACTTTGAGAGCTAATAGAAATGTCACGTTCCTTTAGAAACGGAAGGTAAACAGCAGATTAGGGCAACGGAAATACAAATTAAAAATATATATAATTGGACATATGGATATATGCATATTATCTTAACTAATCGTCACCAATTATCTGTTAAGATAAGAGAGACCCAAACATCTTACTTTCAAATCAATTAAATTTAAAAAGAATTCTTTGGTAAAAATTTATTTTGCGTTATTACAATTGGAAATCACTTAGCCAATTTTGATTCTATCTATTAAATACCAATATATTTTATAGTCCTCCATCGATATAATATAAGAGGCACACAAAATCCCCTCAAGTATACACAAAATGCAGAATAGATTGCCCGAACATTAGATTGCATTTCTGATCAGAACCTTCCATTGGAACCGAAAACCATATGTTTGGCAGACACTTTATCTAAATTTGGGGCAATTTCAGGGGAGAGTCATATACGATATATCGCACGCACGAGACTATCATATAATCGTACTAGCACAAAAGTGTGTGTGTACCTGTGTGTAGAAGGTGTCGAAGAAATTTATAGAATGATATATGAGAGAGGTTTTGACGTTGTATATGGGTCAAGGGAATGGCGTGACTGATATTGTAAATTATTGCAGAGGATTTTTGGTTTGAGACATTTAATATGTGTGGGAAGAGGCGCTAAAGTTTGACTATATAGTCCAAACATATTTAGTTTTATGAATTTTATCGGAGTTAAAAGTGATGCAATATATTTTCTATTGCTTAATTATATTAATTTCTTTCACTTAATTGATGAAAATTCATTTTTGTTTTATAGCCATTTAATGAAAAATTAGCTTGTCAGCATCAAAAGTCTGTTTAATTAAAATAGATTTCTGAAATAGTCAGAAAGGCAATTAATTATAATGATGGATGTGTTATAAATATTAGTTATCCGTACTTTTTGATTCTAATTAATTGTTAATTGTTATGGAAGTATATCACTTGATTATATATAAAATTAATGATTCTAATTGATATATGTATTCCATTATTTTAAGTGGTTTTCCAATAATTTATTTGATTTTAAGTAGCTTGCTTGCAATGAAAGTTATTTGTCTGTTGTTTTGATTTTCACTGTGACTTTTTGTTGGATTCAGGTTTGACATTGACCCAAAAATGCCCGGAACGGCAAGTCAAAGCTCAATGAACAATCCAAAGAAGAAAGAAACGGAGAGACATAAAGAGATGGAGAGGGAGCAAGAGGTCGCGCTTGCCTACGTGCGTGGGATCATGCGTGTGGGATCATAATTCATGGATTGTAGTGTTCATAGCTTGTGCTTTATAGATGTGGAAGCTAAGCTTCTATTCTGAGATCATTTCTATTCCATAAATGTGGAATGAAAGTAAAGAATTTTTCATTTTAATCAATCTAAATTGTTATGGGAAAGTTTATTCTGAAAACAAATGTGTCCAAGATTGAATTAAACCTCAAATTGAGTCCGAATTGAGTCAGCTTCAGAGTGATTATTATTCGTCTTTCGTTCAGAAATAAAACAACCTTAAATGTAAATATACCCCATTTAACCCCATTCCAAAGCTAAACAGCCAAGTTCCTTTATCGCCGCCATGGGTCTGCGATATACATTTTGCATAGACATTTCCCAAAAGTCGGCTGACAAAAACGTTCAGCATCTAATCGTTGTTCGAGCTTATTTTTAGAGCTCCCCTCCCATAAAGATAAGAGTAAACGAATGCAGTGGGCAAATGACCAAATATTTGCTTCCCCGAGACCATAAAAAACCGAACGATATGTGTGGCAATCCGAAAAAAGTGTAGAGAATTTAGAACTTAAGTTGATTCTTCAGTAGTGGGCTTACCAATAATATTGCGAGGTAATTACAACGTTTTGCATGTTGTTTTTGTTGAAAACTTTAATTAATAAATTGTTTTTTCATTACTTTCATTACACAAGACTTCACCTGGAAGCAACACCCTTCATTAGATTTATTTCATACTGAAAGATACACTCAAATTAAATGCAATTTCTTGGATAACAAATCCCTATTATAGATAGCTCGAGGAGAAGGAAATTGATGCGTGTTTAGGCCGATCAATCATACGCCCTGTCAGCCCCCCTCTCCCATTCAGTGAGGATGGGTCGACAGATGAGGAATCGAAGTAAAACAAGCAGAAAGATAAACTCATTCGATTCCGACACTCTGTTGACTTTTAATGATTCAATTTGGCTGTCATTTGGCGGTAGTTTTCGTGTGGGAAATATTGATGACAAAATTAATTGACTTGTCAGAGTAGCCCCCACGGGTGGAGTAGCTTTGCCTCCCCCAGTAGCTGGTAGCGGGGAAATACAAACAAAACGAACCTCAAAGTCATTTCTTATCAAAAGAGGCGGAGAGAGATAGAGGGACAGAAAGACTGCAGCACTTGTCTCCCGTGGCATCACGTGCCTGCTTTTCGTACTCTAAAGATATTAATTCCGTCTTTGATTCCCTGACTTTTTGATAATATTATTATTTAAATTCAGTCTCTTCGCTTCTGTGCTTTTTTCCAACCTCATAATTAGAATTTTAATGCCGCATTGTTATCTTTTGTTTGCGTGGCCTTTCGCTTACTCAAAAAAGAGCAACAAAAAAGAAGCGAAAAAATGTGGGCAAAATGTTGTTTGTATTTGCTCGTCGCTGTGGCTATGGCTGTGGCTCCTGCTACCAACTTAACGACAAAAGAAAAGGGTTAATTGGATTTTTGGACACTTTTGCTAGAGAGCGAAATGTGTGCCATGCCACATAGACATTCGAGGGCAAACGGAGGTGATGTTTGCCTAAGGGGTAGGAGACGGAACATAAAGAACAGAGCCAAATATATGACAATTAGAAGAGCGCATCACACGAGTTGTTTCATCATCATCATCATCATCATCATATGTATCTATAACTATCTATATATACCAACCCATCTATCTTTCTATTCCGATATCTATGTATATTATTGTTATTTTTATTGTTTGTTTCCTATTACTCATCCATTCCCTTCATACCAATTTAACTTCTTTTGAAACCCCTTTAATCTTTCGTTCCATCTTCCTTCACTTTGTGTGCCCATTGATTCAACAAACATTCACCCAAATTATTCATCAAGCCCCCCTGGGGGCAGGGTCATTCATTATTCAACCTGCACTTGAAATTAATCCTACCCCAAAGACAACGCGAGAAAAATCAACAAAATGAAGCACAAATTTGGGTTAAGGTTAGAGAAAGAAAGAGGTAGCCCCCATCCATCCATTCGCACTACTTCTACCAGCTCTGCTGCTGCCTTGTGCTATCATTAGCATTATCTTGATACATATATCTTTGGTAAATATTTAAATTCTCTCTAACAACTCTCTTAGTCATGGAAAATGATGCACATCTATATATTTATTATAAATAAAATACAGCAATCTTTCGGAACAATTAATTGATTTTTCGTGTGACTTTTTGTAATGTCTCTTCAGGCCGTGAGATCCCAAATGAACATATGTCTGTATCAATCCCCTCCTCATCGGCAGGCCACAACTCGTTTGATCAAATTATAATTCATTTGTATCCGATATTTACATAAAATCTAGTTTGAGTTTGGAGATCTCTGTTTGCTATGGCATTTAGCAGATGGACTCTAATATGGTGTTTGGGGGATCGATCTGTGGAATCTCTGAGAGATTAGCAGCTTGTTGCTGGCTAAAGAAAATCTTTAGAATATCTTCTCGACAGACGAGCCCCTTTGATGGTTCCCTCGATAGAACAAAAGATTTTCAGCATTTCAAAGTGTTTTGTATTGTTTTGTTTTTTTCTGGCCTTCACGTTTGTAAATTCCATCAAGAAAGGAATAAAAACAACATTTGCGTATTTTGGAAACCAGTTTTTTTGTTGCCTAAAATTCAAAATATTTACACAAACTGAAACGGACAGGAGGGCGGCAGAGGAAAGGCGGCAACGAGTGTTATCTTTCATTTAAATTGAAACTTGCTTTACGTAAAATTAAGATAAGAACCCGCCCGTCTTATCAGGCAGTGGAAAACACCCGAACAAAAAGCAACAACACCGCAGAAACTAATTGAAATGAATGCAAATTTCATTAGGAAATCGAATTATTTGGAAGATATGGCAGATATGGCAGATACGTCAGGCTTATAGTGAGAGAAAAGTTCTTTGCAAATGAATATACAGGGAAATTAAGAGAGAAATTCTTTAAAAGATACTGAATTGTTACAGAACTTCAGTCGAAGAGAAACTAAGAAACTGTTCTATTTAAATCAATATCTTTCATTTCCAAATAATAATAATGGTAATTGGAACATAGTTTATTCCAGAGAGATTTATAGAAACAGCTCCAATTGCTTAGACAATCTTTTGTCTACATTTTCACCGTTATATTTAATTTCCGAACCACGAATATCACATTTTCTTTGTCTCTTTTATCTCCCATCCAAGAAATTGTCATTTAATTTGTTTAAAGACTTCATTTAACATTTAAACATTATAAATATATAATTCAATAAGCTGTAAGTGGCTCCTGCCACATTTTGTAATAAATATATGAGCAATTTGTATTTGTATTTGGAAATAAATTATGAATTATAATTAACACAGACACACACAAATGGGCACACACAGGAGGAACGTTTTTGT